TGAAAACTGTTACACACAGAGTCGGAGGCCTGTACAGGTGAGTGATCTTCCACATTCAGCACAGAGTTTAAAGCTGCATACAAAACCCGTGGTTTGTTGGCATTAGCATGCACAAGGTTGGAATAATAGGCAGTCTTTGCGGATTTGACAAGATCCTGATAAGATTTCCAACTCTAAGGGCCATTAAAGATACATGCAGCTTACCCTTTTTCCACTTTCTTTCACACCTCCTGCATTCCCTTCTTACAGCCCTGGTGCATTCAGTCGACCACACATTAGCAGCATGATTTGCCTTTTTTGGGTGAAGAGGCGCAATAGTATCCATAATGTCCTTACAGGTCTGATTAAAATAACAGAGCATCATCATCATCATCATCATCATCATCATCATCATCATCATCATCATCATCATCATCATCATCACCACCACCACCACTATCATCATCATCATAATCATCATCATCATCATTGTTGAGGGTCTGACCTCATGAGGAAATTACTATGCAGTGATTTTCTCCAAAATGACTGTGCTTAAATTGCTCTGAAAAGCAAATAATCACATCAGTGCCAAGAAACTTCATTTCCCATGATGCTTTGCACACGGAAGCATTGGGATGATGTCACCGCCTAATACCAGAAACACGTTCTGCGCATGTGCGGGAGGCGGGAGCTCATGGAGCTTTCCCGCGACTTCAAAGACTATAAATCATGAACGGAACAAAGAAAACTCTGTTCTTTTGCCCAGGATACCTGGCGGTAAGGACACGCTTGTCGAACGCTCCGACTCCCTTGAGCACGCGGAAGCTCTAAGTGCCCAAGTTGAGCCACGCAACCGCTGGAAAGCCACTCCAACTCCATCAGGACCTGACTGGGAACGAGCGGAGCTCCATCCAGCTCTCAGAGACGCTGTAAGTTGTCAAACTCAGCACAAAAGAAACTTCGTTCTCTTTGTGTCCAGCCCGTGGAGAAACACTCACGGAGAACGCCAAACAACGGAGAAAGCATCAAACCGACGGACGACGCCGAAAGCTGCGGAGAAACACGGGGAACCATCAAATCAAAGAGGGAGGGACGCCTCGCTCTTCTGGTGATCAGAAACTCATCTCTTTCTCTCTCTACTTCTTCTTCCGTTTCCTCTATAGTCCAGAATAAGCAATAAAACCGCGCTATTGCTTAAAAAGTAGCTTCGTGTTTTCCTCTTTCGTCCCAAACACGTCCGTCGGGTCATTTTGAAAGAATAAACTGCTTATTGATCATTGTTTGGTATCTTAAAATGGTTTCTGCCATGGCCAGGCTGAAACTAAAAGATATTAATTTGTGATTAATCTTTTGTGTTGTTTCATGATCTTTTGAAATGTTTTGAGTGATTTAAGGTTAAGTTACTACTGATTCTAAGTGCTTTGGAAGTTAAAGTGCAAGTTGCCACCCACACTTTAGCCAGACAAAGGGGTCAGCCATCTTGTATTCAAGACTCCATTTTGAATCCATACACACGCACACACACCACTCCTTTGTGAGAACGGGGGACCCCATCATACATCCTCCATCACACGCAAACACATCCATCTTATTATATCACATGGTTATCATTCATTTATTTCACTGTTTATCCATTTAACAAATTGTTTAATTAAATGTTATAAAATTCAGATTTTTGTGTCCAGTAGCTTTGTTGTGTCGAAGAGAAGTCTCTGCTCCGAGGATTCTACGAACTTCAAGAAAGACTGATAAGAGTTTTGGATTCAATTTTTCCCCGGTTGAAGGGGAATGGTGCCCCGTATATCTAAGAATATCTTAATTAATTAATAAATCAGTAAATATTCCCATATTTACAGAATTTATTGAAGAATCCAAAAGTAAGTTAAAGCTTACGAATTGTTCGCTCCTAATAACCCCATCATCATCATCATCATCATCATCATCATCATCATCATCATCATCATCATCATCACCACCACCACCACCATCATCATCATCAGCAGCAGCATCAGCATCATCGTCAGATATGATTGACTGTTTACTGCTAAACTAACATCTACATCTCTTGCAGGAGGAAGATGTACGTATATTTTTTACCTTTATGAATTTAGCCAGATTGCCATCACGCCTCCTGTTATTGAAACAACTTTCTGATTTCTGGCTGAAAGTCTGATAAACCCAAACCTTCCCCTGTTCTGGGTTTTACAACTGTTACAGTTGGATCTATGCTTTGTTTTCATCCCTCACATGTGACCAGCATCGTTAAACTGTCCAGGACTGAGTTCTCTAATCCTCAGCCTCTAGAAAAGTTGGATCTGGTGTCAGGCGTGTATATCTGGGCTGCTTTACTTTGTGGTCTCCCTGCACTAAAATCTCAGTAACAACGGCCAAACCAAGATGATGACAGATAAGGTAATGGCGTAATTCTTAGTTCAGCCACAGAGCACAGATGTGGAGGACCCCCACTTGCAAAAAGAAATAACATCTGATATTAAACATGTCCCTGGTAATTTGGGTCATGCTGTAGGTGCATTGCTTTCTGAAAGCAACATGGTAACGTGCAACTGTCAACTGCATGGTTCCTATCACGTTTGTGTTTAAAGGTGAACTAAAAATGCTGAAATCCAGAGATAAGGAAACAGTGAAAACAAATAAAAGTTTATTTTACAGGCTTGCAGGTCAAAATTCTGTGAGTCAGCTCTTTGGCTCTTTCGCAGGTAAAGTTTGTGAAGCAGATTAATGGAGAGTGGGCGGGCTGGTAAAGTGGGACAGGGATACTTTGTGGGAGCTGTGATATTTGCCGTCAGCTACAGTGTCTTGTTCCGGTTTTCTGTGGATGAGCGGGGGAAAGGAACTCTGCTACTCTCTTCTACCACTACTCTCCAACTGCATTATTTCCTGTTATTATTTCAGCTGTGAACTTCATGCTCTCTGTAAGTATTCCTCTCCAGAGAAGTTACATGGGTCTGGTATCCTGCTGAGCTGCCAACCGCTGAATATTCTCACTCTCCTGATGTTAACTTTTTACTTTCCTAAACCTAGAATGTGCTACTACTAGTTCATCTGATTTTTGTGTGTCTTCTCAAACCCCCAGTAGATCACGGTGGAGGGTCTTTCCAGCTGAGCCAGGTTCTTTTCCTCTCCACTGTCGCTACATGCTTGATTAGACACAACAAGTTCGTGACTCAGTGCAGTCGACTGGGTTTCACAGGAAACTTTTAACTGATCTGCATAAAGAACTGAACCGAATGCACTGATAAGTAGGTTCAGTTAGAATGTTTGCTTTGTAAAGTGCATTGAGAATATTCTACATAAATAAAAGGAATTGAATCGAATTTAATTAAATGGTAACACTTTACAATAATAATTTGTTTTATTATTTCACTCATTTGTTCTTTTTTTTGTTTTTTTTGTTCGGTTATCCTACTCAGATAAACAGGAGAGATGTTGTAGAAATTTTATGTTTCTTATTTGTTGATCATTAACTAATGTATTACTTTATGTCATGACTCCCAATCTTTCACCCTCCTCTGCCTCCTCATCAAGCCTTCAGCCTTCATGCAGCACACCTGGTCCCCTCATCAAGCTCCAGCCAAGCTCTGTTTCCCTGGCAACCACAATCAACTTCATTCATCTCACCTGTTCCTGTAATCAGCTCATCCCACACACCTGCTTCCTCTGCTATTTAACTCCCAGCCTGCTCCCCAACTGGTGCCAGATCATTGAACGCTCTTTGCTAGTAAATCTTCCAGCCTTGTACCTTGCCTGATCTCAGCCTCCAGACCTCGTTTTCACTCCTGACCCCTGCCTTGAACTCTGCCTGCCACCACGACCCTCGCCTGTCTGCTACCTCATTTAACTTTAAAAATAAAACGTTTTGTCTCAAAAGTTGTGTGATGTCTAATGTTTGGCTCAGAGAAAAGTGGGCACTGTCATACATTCAGTGTGTAATTCATTGTGTTCCATTTAGACAGTGGTGTTTTCAGTTTTGCTCTTCAGTGTTCTTTCCATGCTTGGTAGTGTTCACCCTAAGGCTACTTGTGTTTAAGCAATGAATGGTATGTGTGTGTCATGTGAAAATGTGGCTGTGTTTACCAAATGAGAACACTGTTCCATTTTGGAACATGTTACGATATGTGATGGCAGGGTTTTGTTGCAAAGGGAAGCCACGGTTTAGGAATTTGTGTGTCGTGTTAGGTGTTTTGTGTGTGCAGTTTTGAAAGAAACGTTTTAGCAATAGAAAAAAACTAAGTTAACGAGAACATTAATAAAGGGACCTTCTGTTTATTAATGCTTAAAAATGCACTAAGTAACGTTAAGAAAGGGACCCTTATTGTGAATACAATACGAGTTGGATTAACTATTAAAACTTGTAAAAGTACTTTTGGCATTTTGTAAAATATGGTCACAACAGTAACCATGATCAGCTGCACACAAAGTTTCCTAAATGTTTAATCACTGATTCATTCGAGAGCCTGAAGGAAATTCAGTGAGTGAATACAGTGGGTGTTTGTAAACATGCACACTGCGTGTGTGTGTGTGTGTGTACATAGTTGTGCACAATGAAGCCTGATCTCATTCCAGCATGGTGGATCTGAATAGTAATACCGGGGGGCATCAGGAAGGAGACGAACAACACAAGCAACACAGTATCCACCAGCGAGTTTTAGACACACACACACACACACACACACACACACACACACACACACACACACACACACACGCACGCACACACGCACACACACACACACACACACACACACACACACACACACACACACACACACACACACACACACACACACAGACTTCCTGCTCCTCTCAGTCTGGATCAAGTGAAAACAAAAGGACTGGACCTTTTCCAGCACAACGTGTACCTACTAACATTCTCTCACTGATGCAGTGAGTTATCCATCCATATCTCCATCACGCCCTCCTCCTACTTCTCCTCTCAGCCCCTCCCCACTGTTTGCCTCTTCCACCTGACTGGCCAACAGAACCAGACAGACTTGTCTGGGCATAGAATGAAAGAAGAGTGGGAGGGATGGGGATGACCAACTGGACAGGACCAAACACCCCACCAGCCAGACAGCAGCGGCAAATCAGAACACAATGAATCTCTTGTGAATGAAGCACTTATGCATGTTTTTTTAACGAAGCTACATCGACACAAGTGTGGAAGAAGACATTTGTGAGCCTGAAACTCAAAAAGGAAGGACATAAATCAAAAGGTGACACCGTAATCACAAAGGAGGAGGCAACAGCAGGAATATCAGAGCAGATGTGAGTCTGTCTGCCTCAGACGGGGACCCATGATGACTACAAGAGGACGGAGATTGTCGGACCTGGAGACGTTAGTGGGGATGGAGGACGAGCGTGTGAACAGCTCCAGGAGCAGAGCTGGGAGCTGTGTGGAGTTCCACAGCCTCAAAGTAAGTCACATTTTGTTCTTTGAATGGAGATTATAATACTGAGAAGTATGTCAGACTGGGTTCAATTATTCCACACTTGTTGCATGCTGAGTGGAACAGAACTGCAGTGTTCAGGTTATTATGGGGTGTTTCTGGTGAATCTGCTTAACAGAGGCTGCTTTGGTTCTGCTAAGAAAGATTTTAAATAATACTCTGTCATTTAATATATTCAAAAAATGTACCAATTTGAGTGTACTAAATAATTATGAAAATGTAAATGAAATCAACGATCATGATCGAACTGGAATTTAGAACAGGAAAAAGTTTAAAGTGAATCCGTATGTGTGTCTGACAAATGGTAATTGTATATAAACTGATTATTTCTTCTGGAAAAGGGGGCAGAAATTATAAGATGTTTTTCTTCATTCTGGTCCTTTTCATTCAAATTTGATTTTTTGTTATGCATTTCTTATTGTTTGTATGTTTGATTTGTTTTTATATTGAATGGAATAAAAAATAAATAAATGCATGAACATTTGGCGGGCTGTGCAGTGGTTAGAGCTGTTGCTTTGTAGCAAGAAGGTCCTGGGTTCGTTTCCCGGCCTGGGATCTTTCTGCATGGAGTTTGCATGTTCTCCCTGTGCATGTGTGGGTTCTCTCCGGGTACTCCGCTTCCTCCCACAGTCCAAAAACATGACTGTTAGGTTAATTGGTCTGTCCAAATTGTCCTTAGGTGTGAGTGTGAGTGTGCATGATTGTTTGTCCTGTGTGTCTCTGTGTTGCCCTGGGATGGACTGGCAACCTGCCCAGGGTGTACCCCACCTGATGCCCGTTGACCGCTGGAGATATACCCCCCCCCCCCCCCCCCCCCGTTCATGTAAAATGTATTTATTTTTTCATGTCTGACTTTAACCACATCTAATACTGTATTACGGCGTGAGCGCAACAGCGACAACTTAAGATCGATGTGTGAGCAGACTGAGAGGTCGGGTGTTTTCATCTGAACCCTTAAAACCTTCAGCAGGCTACGCTGCACTATTGACGTGTTAGCGCGCGGCGCTAACAACTTAGCGACGTGACATGTCTCGGAGAAAGCGTAAAAACACGTTGGACGCTTCTTCTAGAACATGCAAACTCCATGCAGAAAGATCCCAGGCCGGGAAGCGAACCCAGGACCTTCTTGCTGCAAGGCAACAGCTCTAACCACTGCACCACTGCGCAGCCCAATCCACCTTCCATCTTTTCTAATCTCACAAACACTCAAAAGTGGGGAGAATTGTGTCAAAATTGGCGTGATTACCTTTTCGTGTAAACCGAGCCAAACAGAAACGTGTGAGTCTGTGAACTCAGTAATGATCATTACCTGATTAGGAACATCTTCTGAATTCTGATGGTCTGATTGCGTCTGGCGCCCATGGGTTTCATCCTTTTGTGGAGGAAAAAAGGCAGGAGGAGGTAATATTTGGTCCTTGTCCACATGTGTTTATTGACTTGCATGGATCCACCAGAGTTTATTGATACTTCACAAAGTAATCCATCATCAACTGATCATCTTTTAGAGTCAACTTGATTCAAGATGGCTGCCACAACTAATCAACACAAGAAAACAAAACTGGCCATAAGTCTGACTAATTAGAAGAAACTGAGTTAAATCTCTGTGTACTACTACTACTACTACTACTACTACTACTACTACTACTACTACTACTACTACTACTACTACTACTACTACCACTACTACTACTACTACTACTACTACTACTACTACCACCACTACTACAACTACTACTACCACCACTACTACTACTACTACTACTACTACTACTACAACTACTACTACCACCACTACTACTACAACTACCACAACAACAACAACAACAACAACAACTACTACTTCAACTACTACTACTACTACTACTACAACTACAACTACAACAACAACTACTACTACTACTACCACTACTACTACTACTACTACTACTACCGCTACTACTACTACCACTACTACTACCACTACTACTACTACTACCACTACTACTACTACTTCTACTACTACTACCACCACCACTACTACTTCCACTACTACTACAAGTACTACTATACTGAATAGTAGCTGAGGGTCCTTCGTACTGTTAATGCTACACACTGTGGGACATTCCATGCAAATCCAGATATTTCAGCCTTTATTTGTTATAATTGTGATGATTATGGCTTACAGCTGATGAAAACCCCACATTCAGAATCTCAGACTATGAAAATATTATGAAAAGGGTCAATATTTTAGACTCAAAGTGTCACTAATCAGCTAATGAATCCTGCAAAGGCTTCTTGAGCCCTTAGGTGGTCTCTCAGTCTAAGATGGATTACTGACATAAATAGACTTTTCCATCATATTCTCTTTGTTTGAGTTCCACCTGTATGCCAATGAAAGGGAGTCTAGGTTTAGCCATATCCATTAATAAAAAAACACAAGGTGCAGAAATTAAAGTTTAACCATGAAACTAAAGAAGTGATTGGACTTCAGCAGGAGTGTGCCCCACGGTGCAAATAAAATTAGGGCAAACTGCATGACGGAGACTTATTTCATTAGGATAATTTGTGACTAAGGCTCATTTGCACAAATTCAGTTTTTTTGCAGTTATGTCATATAGTCTACTGACCCCGATCAGGCCTAAAGCGTGTCACTTAAGCATTGGGCATAAAGCCGCGTGATTCATGTGTTGAAATGTAACTCAGCTAGTTGCAGACAGTTGCAGCTCAGTGAGATCCTGAACTTTTCAAGCCTCTGCCGGTGACACAGATGCACACATCTATGGTTTGTTTGAAGCTTCTGCCAGGCTTTAAACATGTCAGAACGGCTGGAGGGGAAGGGCTGTGAAGATCTGAGACTCAGAGGTCCGTGGGGGACATGACGATGTGTTTGTGTCCAACACAGCCTGCAGATACCACAAGTCTTCTTCTGTATCTGCTATACAGCCATCACCATGTGCACACACAAACACACGGAGCGTATCATTAAAGTTATCTCCTGGCTGCTTCAGGTGTATCATTACTGCAGCCCGTCACTGCAAATCCAGCTGTACCAAGCCTCGGTATAAGCGCTGAGGAATGTATAGATTGTGTCCACACATTCAGCCTTGTGAGTGAGTGTGAGAGAGGTCAGGGCGGGTTAGCAGCCGTGCTACATGAAAGTATGCAATAATTCTCACGTGGCTGCCGGTTAAATGCATGTAAGCAACGTGTGTGTTCATACATTCTCTTTGATCTTTGAAGATGAATTAGCTTTTCTGATGTCTGTTTTTTAAAGATCTGAAGCCAAACTTCAGCTGAGTTTGGGTTTAGGTGAAAGCTTGAGGTGGGGCATTTAGCAGTTATCCGTTGAATGAAAAAAGCCACAAAATGAATCATGTCAGTCAGGACAAAGACTGAAGCGAAGGTGTGTGAAATTCTCCAGGGATTGGGAACTTTACCTTCTGTGTGCGTGTGTTTGAAGGAGAATCCTCCAGGATCCTCTAGAGACTGAACAAATTGAAAGACTAGAGACTGAGTCACGTTCTTTAAAAACGTCAAATCTTAAAGAAAAGCAGGGAGAGGTAGCAGGTATAAAGGTGAGGAAGCCTTTCAACTTTTATTTGCAGCATCAACAGTATGAAAAGACTTTTAAAAAGATCTTTAGTATACCAACGCTGGCAGCTGGATTCCACCGTGTGTGTGTGTGTGTGTGTGTGTGTGTGCGTGTGTGCGTGCATGTGTGTGCGTGCATGTGTGTGTGTGTGTGTGTGTGTGTGTGTGTGCGTGCGTGCGTGCATGCGTGTGTGTGTGTGTGTGTGTGTGTGTGTGTGTGTGTGTGTGTGTGTGTGTGTGTGTGCGTGCGTGTGTGTGTGTGTGTGTGTGTGTGAGCTGCGTCTCATCTCGAGGTGAGGGCTGAAAGCCCCAAAGGGAGGACAGAGAATGAACTCCTCCTCAAGCTCAGTACTTGAAGGCTGTGAGGCTGAACCTGCTGAGGATCTGACTTCTTGAAGACTTGAAACTTGAGGAGGAAAAACATTCAAGTGTCAAAATTTGACCCTACAAATGCAAACAATAATAAATATGAGTCACATCAGGCAGGCATGCCCTCCAGCTGACTCCCATTCTGCTCTTGAAGACCTGACAAGGAACTGCCTCTAGGACCGGTCGTAGCTGACCAGATCTGGCATGGTGCTTTATTATGGTAAAGCTTGAGACTTACCTTTAAAGGTCTTAGAATTTTATATTTTGGGACCTAATTTGCCTTTACAATTACTAAATACATACCACATCCATCGACATATATGGCCACGTCCTGTTTCTATTTGCTTGAAGAACCTGGAAAACTGCAGGTGTCTTGTTTAGACTTAGACCTCCTTTCAGAATTTTCTTACAGGCATTGAAAGCCTTTTTGCTTTGTGGTGATCAAACACAAAGCCGTCTGTTTAACACTCTTCTTCGAGAACTGTTAAAACAACGGATAACATTCAAGATGTTATCCGTTTCCTGACTGGAATTTCTTCGGGTATTCCTGTGTCCTGGGTGGCCGGGGTGAAGCCTCCTTATGTGTCATCTTTAGAACGTTGCGAGAGGAGGATTCAATGTCAGGTTACATTACCTCTGTTTGGCTTCAGACAGTTTTCGTGACACGGCAGGTTGTGAAGTCTAAGACATCGGGGTGGCGGCTGAAGGTATTATGCTGGCTGTAAGAGCGAGGATTATGTCCCAGTGATTCTGCATTCCCAAGCTGGAGCAAGAGGAGGAGGAGGAGAGTGAGGAGCAGGATGGAGGGACAAAAAGGTGTTGGGAGGGAGTCTAGGGAGGGGATAAAAGCAAATGAGCGGATCATTTTTTGACTTGATGACACGTGAAAAGGTATCGGCTGCCCCTCTAAAAACTTTTTACAACTTCAATTTGAGAAGTGGCTCCCCCTGCTGACGCTTGAATTCAATTCAATTCAATTCAGTGTATTTAAATATCGCTAAATCACGACAAGAGTCGTCTTAAGGCAT